AACTTAGACCACCTAAACCATTTAGAGATGAGGAAACAGGCCCTCATATTAAGTAACTTGCTGACACCCTAAATCCCTTCTGGAACAAGGTGGAGATTTAATAACTGCATATGTTTAAAAAAACTTACTCAATGTTTCATGGCTAATTGGTGGTAGCACGGAGACCTGAACCGAGTGCTCTCTCCTACCAGTCCAGAGCTTTTCCCTCAATGGATGGTACTAGAACTTGGGAATAAGAAGACTAGAAAGAGGCCTGAGTGGGAACCACCCTAGAACTGAGAAGTGACTGCAGATGCTGAGGCTATAGAACAGTGAGAGATGAGGTCTGAGGACAGAATCCGGGATCACCTCTATTCTTCATTTCTTTTCTACCATCATCTGCCTTCATCACCGCAAACCTCCCACCTGCTATCACTATCTCATTCTCAGCCCTTTCCAACTTTTTGTTAAAGCTCTCTCCACCTGTGCCCACCTCTGATAACTCAACTGGCTGCCAATCTCATTAATCTGGGCTTTCTGGCTTCAACTTAGGCTGTCCTATTTCCTGTCCCTCCCCGCTCTCCATCCCGATCCTGTCTGTGGAAATCTTACCCAGCCTCATATCTACCCATCCATTCATTCATTCACTCAGTAAGTATTTATTGAATGTCTGCTATACTTAGTGCCAGAGATACAATGGTAAGATTAAAAAACAACAAAGGAGAGACAGAGAAAGACAAGGTTCTTTATCCTCATAGAATATATACTCTAATGAAGACAACATAAAAACAAATAAATAACATGCAATATGTCTAAACAGAGGTATTAACAAGTTCTGTGAAACACAAGAGGAGGGAGGGAAGGGAAGACACTAGAGGTGTCTTTTGAGAGGGTCTTAAAGGATAATTAAGAGTTTCCAGTTAGGCAGACAAAAAGAAAAGTGTGCAGAGGAAAAAGGAGAGCAAGGATTACATCTTATTCATTTCCATTTTTCTTAAGACCTAGCACATTCCCATCCACCAAATGCAAGAGTTTAATAGATATTTACTAATTAGTGGTCTTCAATGGTTGATAGATTTCCATAGAGAAAGGCAAACCAGAGAGACTGTTATTAAGTAAATTAGAGTAGTCTGTGAAAATTGAGTACCTTCACTTGATTCATTTTGGTTCACCTTATAATTCAGCTTAAAGGAAAGGCTAAATTTACTCCAGCTAGGATCCCTAAAAATACTAGATTATTATATTTAAAATACTTTAAACATGAACATAAAAATTTTACTTGGCAATAAAGGTAAAAAAAAAAATAATAAATTGGTAGGGTTTTACATTCTCAACTGCACCCCTGCTGATTTTAGAATTCAAGCAGTTACTTCCGGAAATGTTTTCTATAGGGAAAGAGGAGACCTCTAGTGGTGAGTTGGTGAATTTAGCTCTAATGATGGGGGGGAAAAACAAACCAGTTAACAGTAAGCTTAAAAAAAAATAGCCACTACTAAATTATTGCTTCAATAAATAATTCAGAAATTTAAAAATCATTTAAAAAAGCTCCTTCTTACTCTCATAACCTGGCTTAAAGCACATGTTTCTAAAAATTACAATTATGCTTGTTACTTACAGAAGGCTAGATCTCTAATGTTTGATTCAAAATAGGATACACACAAAATGTTTCTGAGCAGGTTTGGTTGAGAGTTCCCCTGTTTGCATAAAAAAAGTAAGTTTTTTTAAAGTGGAAGTTCTGGGGTGCTTGGCTGGTTCAGTTTGTAGAAGATGCAACTCTCGATCTCAGGGTTGTGAGTTCAATCAAGTCCCACATTGGGCATGGAGCCTACCTAAAATTAAAAAAAATTTTTAAATAAAAATAACAGTGGAAGTTTTGTTTTTATTTAGCTGGGCTATCCAAAGCGATGGCTAAGTGGCCCAAAAGACTGAACTAAAGAACTATTTCTTGAGGGTGATAAAAATGTGAAGGGGCAGATTTGGGGAGATTTTCCCCCAAATTACAACCCCACCTCACTGCAAATCACCCAATATTGATGCCAACTCTTATTCCTGAGGTGTATAGAGTCTAGTGAAAAGGAAGAGAAAAATTCATTAGGAATTGGAAACAAAGTTCCCCAACGCCATTCCTCAGCCAACATCACATGGGATCCAGTGAAGTAATGTCTTACTCGTTCTGACATAGATGGAAGATGAACTTGAACTCTCAGCTGATGGTGGTGTCATGAATACAAAATGTCACACCCAAGACATTACAGGGTGTATGAATGGAAGGTAAGCTCTTGACTTGAAATTACTTAACTGAAACAAATTAAGGTACAGTCAAACCTAGGGGAAGGTAAGCAGAAAAAAAAGTTATACAAAGAGCAGATGTGAGTTTTTTCATCTTGCTAAACAAAGAAGCATGTACTCAAAATTACATGGTGAACAAGTCACTACTTTGGGCTCAAGTGTCCCATGAAAGTTGACCATAGACATGTGTAATTCTGTATTCAACCTAGTAATAAAAATCCACTACCTCCAGTGCAAACTAAAAAATAACCATCTCTACTAAACACCTATCAGAATGGCAAAAATTAAAAACAGTGACAACACCAATTGCTGGTGATAAGAACGAGATCACTCAAAACATTGCTGGTGGGAATGTATAAAGGAACAGCCACTTTGTTTTTTGTTTTTTATTTTAGAGAGAGACCGAGGGACTGGGGGAGAGGGGCAGAGGGAAGAGAAAGAGAGAGAATCTTAAGCAGGCTCCATGCTCAGCGTGGTGGCTGACGCAGGGCTCTGTCCCACAAACCTGGGATCATGACTTGAGCCGAAACCAAGAGCCGGACGATCAACTGAGCCACCAGGTGCCCTGGTACAGCCATTTTGGAAACAGTTTGCCTGTTTTTTACAACACTAAACATTTGTTTATATGACCCAGCAATTGGACTCTTAGGCATTTATCCCAGAGAAACAAAAACAGGTTCACACAAAAAGCAGCACATTAATGTTCATAGCAGCTTTATTCCAAATAGCTAATTAGAACTCAGATGTGTTTCAATGGGTGAATAGTTAAACCTATTGTGGTATACCCATATCATGAAATACTACTCCCCAATAAGAAGGAATGAACCTTTCATACATACACTGATCCCAAGGGATTACACTAAGTAAAAAATAGCTAATTCCAAAAAATTACAGATTGGGGAAGGGGTGCCCCGAAGGAGTGAAGTTATAAAAGGGTACCCGTAGATCCCTTGTGGTGACTGAACTGTGTTGTAGCTGGACCCTGGTGGTGACACAACAATCTACACATGTGATAAAAACTAAACAGAACTAAATAGACACACAAATGTAAAGCTAGGGAAATCTGAGGAAGATCAACGGATTATGTCAATGTCAATTTCCTGGTTATGACACTGTCCTACAGATTTGCAAGATGTTTTCATGGGGGGAGAAGGGGTAAAAGGTACACAGGATCTCTACTGTTCCTTACAACTGTATGGGACTCTACAATTATCTCAAAACAAAAAACTGAATTTAAGGAATAACCATCTCATTATTATTATTTTTTCATTTGTGATGGAAAAAGCAGGTAACATTCTATGTTGTTTTCACTAACAAAGGCATTCAACTGTCCAGGAGGTAAAACCATTTGAACATAATAAAAAGTCATTTATCCAGTGCAGCTGACCCTTCAACAACATAAGGGTTAAGGGCAGTTGAAACTCTGCATAGGATTTTTGACTCCCCTCAAATTTAACTAACAGCCTACTGTTTGATTAGAAGCCTTACCAATAACATAGGTGATTAACACATATTTTGCATGTTATATGTAGTATACACTATGTTCTTATAATAAACTAGAGAAAAGAAAATCATAAGGAAAATACATTTAGAGTACTGTATTGGATTTACTGAAAAACATCTGCCTCCAAGTGGACAGGAGTTGTTCAAACCTGTGCTCTTCAAGGGTCAACTGTATTTCACTCCGCTAAACACCCTTGGGCTTTATTTCATGTAATCCACACAACAGCCCTGTGTGAGAGACACAGCTATTACTCCTAGTTCACAGAAGAGATCTGAGGCAGAGACGAAGTGACTTCCCCAGGCCACCAGACTAAACAGTTGGAACCAAATCAAAGTCCTTCCAGCAATAAAGTTTTTAACATTCTAATTTTGTTCTGTTCAGCTGTTCTGACCCTAAAAATGAAAAACTGCCGATAAGCACTGAGCACAGGCGTTAAACGGCCACGGTGAGGGCGAATCACCAAACTTCAGTCGGAAGGTCGCTTAGGGATTCCATAGCCCACCTCCTTCACTTTATAGATAAGGACACGGGGTGAAGAGACCTGTACGGAAGAGCCCCGTATTCCCAGGTCCGCACAGTGGGTTTAAATCTGTATCTCCACCCAGGATTTAAGACAAGGAAACAGACTGCCTAATGATGGCAGAGACAGAGCCATCTGGTTCTTCTAGGCGCTCGATATTTACAACACCAAGAAATGACACCGTCAGGAGCCCTACAAAAAGAAGTCCAGAAGACCGCAGGCTACCAGGCGTTGCCGCGACAAGGCCTCCGTCCGGAGCGAGAGCTAGGGCCGGACGGGCAGCGCCCCTCAGTGGGCAATTCGCCTGCGGGTGGCCAGCAATGGGCCTCCCGCAGACAGGGGCCGAGCCGGAGGCAGGGAGGCCGCTGGGCCCGCCCAAATGAGAGCTTTCACCCCAGTCACGCCCGCACTCTCTCCCAAGGCCCCGAGGACGCAGGGCCTGAGATGACAGGACGCGCGGCTCGGCGGGCTACCTTTTCAGTGAGCCCCGCAGCGGGAGAAGGAAAAGGGCAGAGCGTAACCACCACCCTACTCCCGCCTCGCGCGGGGCCTAGCTCCTCTACTCACGGCATTGGAGGAAGGGAGGGAGCGAGCGAGCGTGCCCCGCGTCTACGGCGCCGCCGGCCTGCCCTTCGCCCTCCGCCGTGCGTGTCCATTGGCTACTGGCGTCGCTCCCACGTGGGGCGAAGACACGTGCTCCATTGGCCCCTGAGTGGGAGGCGGGATTAGACAGCGCCGAGAGCCCCGCAGGGTCCGGCTCGAGGGACCACCTCTGGGGGCTGAGGGAGGACGGAGGAGGGGCGCAGGCGATGGTCCCCGCACTGCGCTATATCCGCGGTGCCTGCGGCCCGGCCCTCGGAGGTTTCCCCGGGGGGTTCTCCTCCGCAGGCCGGCCGGCGCCGGGGAGGTCCTGGCCGCTGTGCCAAGGTGGCCGCCCAGCTAGCACCCGGTGAGTAGCCGCTGGCCTGCCCTCGCCGCCTGTGCTACCGCTTCTCTCGGAGGTGCCTCTTGCTGGACCTCTGCCCCTCCTCTACTTCCCTGCCCCGGGCGTGAGTGAAGGTGAGGTCCTGTGGAGCCCTGGCTGCAACCTCGGATCCCAGGAGTTACCTGTAGGATTCACTGGTTGTGTTTGTGTGACGGATGAAAAGAATAAGGCGGTGTTGAGTGGAGCTCTAGAGCAGTTCTGGTTTTCAGTACTACCCTCCACTTCCCTTTCAATTCTTGGGTGGGTTACTTAAGCTTCTTAAAGGCTCAGTTGTGAGTAGGAGCCTAGTCTCTCCCGTAGGTGGTCGTTTTAAGGGTTAAAGGACCTATCACACTAAGCAATCAAAGAAACTGTTTATTAGCTGGCATCCCTGATGTTGCTTGGATGATTTGAAACCATTCTTAAATCAGTCAGTTCCTGGCAAACACTGCATAGAGTTGCCCTGCGAGAAGCAGTTCAGTTACTAGTCAAAACCTGCACAAGTAAGTGTCCTGTGATTTGAAGTTTGGAGGTCACATTAGAAACCACGGTCTTTCTCTGCTCTCTGTGAAGGAAATGGCTTATGCTAAGGCATTAAAGCTGGAAAGCTCTTGGATATTTTGGGAAGTAGAAGGTGGGCAAATTGAATGTGGCTGGAGCTTAGTGGAATAGAGATGGTGTGGAATGATACTGGAGACAGGCTACATCACAGCAGAGATTTGATTTGATTTTAACTACACATTGAACTTTAAAGGACTTGGGAGACTTAGAGGATTTTTAAGAAGAGGGAGTGCTTAAATGTTGAGGTTTCAAAAGTTGACTGGCTGCTGTGTGTTAATTTGGAGGATTAGAGTGGTATAGGATTTGTGATTCATAGTGGGGGTATGTAGACAGTTATTTTGGGAATGCTTTTCTTAAGGAAACAAGTTAGAGTTAGTGAGGGTTTTGTGTATACTTTTTATTTTGAAATAATTCTAGACCCACAGGAAATTGCAAAAATACAGATTTTAGGTAACCTTCAGCCAGTTTACCCCAATGATAGCGTCTTCCCTAACTATAGTACAATATCAAAACTAGGAAATTGACATTGGTATGACACAGACCGTGTTCAGATTTCATCAGTTTTTAGATGCACTCATTTGTGTGTGTGTTTCTATGCAATTTAATCATGCTGTTTTGTGTAACTGTCATCACAAAGTACACCACAAAGATATCTCTTATGTTACCAATCCCTTTATATTCACATACCATCTCTTCACCCTTCCTAACCCTTGGCAATCACTAATCTAGTCTCTAGCTGTAAAATTTTGTCATTTTGAGAAGGTTTTATAAGTAGAATTACACAGTATATAACCTTTTGAGACTGGCTTTTTTCACACAGCATAACGTCTTGGAGATTCATCCACGGTGTTGCCTATATTGACAGCAGTTTCCTGTTAGTTGTTGAGTAATATTTCATCATATGGTTGTATTACAGTTTGTTTAACCATTCACCAGTTGAAGGACATCTGAACTGTTTGTAATTTGGGGCTCTTATGAATACAGCTGCTGTGACGTTTATATACAGGTTTTTGTATGAACATCAGTTTTTATTTTTCTGAGATAAATGCCCAAGGGTGTAGTTGCTAAGACATATTTAGTTAGCACATGCTTAGTTTTTTATTTTCATTGTAGGCATGGCTTTTAATATAGGGCCATAAAAGGAATATCCACTGAGAAATACTGAGTATTGATTTATAAAAGAAGAGTACACCAGAGGTTCCCAAGGAAGTATAAAACATGAAGTCATGCACCTGGGATCCAGGTTCTGAATATTAGAATTTCCCTTACAGAAAGACTTGAGATGAGTGGAGTCCATGTTTGGGACTCAAAAAGAGACCATTATATCCTTTAAGTGGGAGATCTTCAACAATCCAAAGAATGACCTGAGGAAGAGTGGGAGATCAATGATGTGGCCCAAATTGGGTAAGATATAAGCCCAAAGATCTGTTTTTCCTATGTACGAGTGAGAACAGAACAAAGGAGGTTGTGCCAACGTCAAGGCCTAAACCAATTATCTGACTTGAGTGGAGTGTGTTATACAACGGCAAAGATAAATGTTTAGTTTTTTAAGAAACTGCTATACTCTTTTTCCAGGGTGGCTGTACTATTTCACATTCCTACCAGCAGTGTGTGAGTGATCCAGTTCTTCCTCATTCTCACCAGCATTTGGTGTTACCACTTTTTAAATTTTAGCCATTCTAAGAGGAGTGTAGTGACATCTTATTGTAGTTTTAATTTACATTTCCCTAGTCATTAATGGTAGTGAACATCTTTTCATGTGCTTATTTTCCATCTGTAGATCTATCCTCTTTGATGAAATTTGTTCTTATCTTTTGCGCATTTTCAAAATGGCTTATGTGGGAGTTCTTTATGTATTCTAGATAGGAGTCTTTTGTCAGATATGTGGCTTGCAACCAACTTGTTGGTTGTCTTCTTACCCCCTTAACAAAATGTTTTGCAGAACAAAATTTTTAATTTTGATGAAGTCCAGTTTATCAGTTTTCCTTATGTGGATCATGCTTTTGGTGTCTTCTCTTCACTTAGCCCTAGATCCCAAAGGTTTTTTCCTTTGTTTTCTTCTAAAAGTTTTATGGTGAATATTTGATGATATAATACATTTATTGTAAATTTTTAAAAATTAGAATACTGGTATTGTGTGCATGTTTTAAAGAAGCCTTTTAGAAATAACATATTGAAATATTTACAGATGCTGTTTAGGATTTGCATCAAAATAATTTAATGCAGGAGGAGGTGAAATAGATGGGATATAGAAAAAGCAAGATTAGGGGCGCCTGGGTGGCGCAGTCGGTTAAGCGTCCGACTTCAGCCAGGTCACGATCTCACGGCTTCACATAAACTCTCTCTGCCCCTCCCCCGTTCATGCTCTGTCTCTCTCTGTCCCAAAAATAAATAAACGTTGAAAAAAAAAAGAAAAAAAAAAAAAAGAAAAAGCAAGATTAGCCATATGCTTACAAAAGTAGATATGTTGGGCATGAGGTAGGTGCTAAAGGTAATCTTTTTCTGCTTCTCATTACTGAATTAGATAGACTATACATGCCCTTCCTAATCTTTGAAATGGTTGTATAATCTGGATTTATCATGGCTAAAATTGTGGCTGTAAGCCTATTTCTGGATCAGTTATTTCCCTAAGGTTTGAAATTCTCACTGGCTGTTTCCTTCTCAGTAGAAAAAAGTTCTTGCACACTGAAGACTTGAGTGTCTTGAAGGGCCTAAGTCTTAAAGACCTAATATGTTGGTTTATCCTCAAGAATACTGCACTTGAGTTTTAAATGAATAGTTGGTAGAGAAGAGTGTGATGCTTACACAGAGTAAACACTCTGCCCAGGCAGAGTGCTGTGGAGGGTGAGATTGAGAGAGGCTTGGGAACTAGTTACCCTGCCTGCTGGGTGTGGCAGCTTATATTACTGACCCAGCAATGCATATAATTCTTAAAGGCTTTTTCCTTTAAGAAGACAATATCATAAAGCCCAATAAATATTTGATTGTAATGATTACAAATTAATAGTTTGATGAAAATTATGCACACGAAATTTGATGAGATCTACTGTAAACATGCAATACTTCAAAGGTGACTTTCTCTTAAAGCTCATTTGATGTAGTCGTTATTGGTGGCGGAATTGTGGGCCTTGCCTCTGCCAGAGCACTCATCCTGCGACATCCAGCACTTTCCATTGGTGTTCTGGAAAAGGAGAAAGATTTGGGTATGTATATTACCAGTGTTGCTCTTTGGGCTTAACCTGAATACCTGCTCATTATTTCAGTTCTGCATCTTTCATGTTGAATGTCATTATTAGTACCTTAGTTTGGGTTCTTCATAAAGCAGAGCCTGGGACCAGAACTTGAGTAGAGGTGATTTATTTGAGATGTTGTTTAGGAGGCAGAAGTGAGGAGTGTGGAGAGTAAGCCTGAAAGGAAGAAAAGCCACAGGGGGGGTACATAATCAAGGTTGCAATTGTGAGCTTGATTCCTCTGGGACCTCTAAGGAGCAACATAAACATTTCCAAGGATTGTGCTCATTTTTCCATCAGCTAGTGTTTCTACTGGCTGAGGATTGCCCCTGGGGACATTGAGTTGTAATCTTCTCCCTCTCCTCTCCTGTCACATTAGAAAAGGCCGTGGGGCGGAATACCCAGAACTATAGTGGGTTTGCCAGCTGGGAGAGTTGGGTTTGTGCACCAAAGTTTGCTAGTAGTGAGGAGTGGGTTTGTGCATCAAAGTTGTAACTGAAGTGAAAGATGGCCTGAGGGGATGTGGCATGGACACCAGGGATGGCTACTAGAAGAAGTTACCAGTGTCCTGCCTATAAGAACAAACTCAGGCAGAATTTTCAATAATGTGGTCTCTACTAACTTCAACTTTTTTTGTTCCTCCACTTTGTAGCTTTTGAATACTTTGTATAGTTTCTCTTATCCTGTTTCTCTTGTCCGGTAGCTATTCACCAGACTGGACATAACAGTGGTGTCATACATAGTGGAATTTATTATAAACCTGAATCTCTAAAAGCTAAATTATGTGTACAAGGTGCAGCCCTCATCTATGAGTATTGTAAGCAAAAAGGAATTTCCTACAAGCAATGTGGTAAGGTAAGGCATTTTACTACAGCCTTGACTTACTTATAACTAGCATTTTCTTAGCAATGTTTAATGTTGAATTTAAAAAAATGGCTTTTCTATCTTTATGTAATTTTCAAAGTCTAATGTTAGAAAATAACTTTAGAGGGGCGCCTGGGTGGCGCAGTCGGTTAAGCGTCCGACTTCAGCCAGGTCACGATCTCACAGTCCGTGAGTTCGAGCCCCGCGTCAGGCTCTGGGCTGATGGCTCAGAGCCTGGAGCCTGTTTCCGATTCTGTGTCTCCCTCTCTCTCTGCCCCTCCCTCGTTCATGCTCTGTCTCTCTCTGTCCCAAAAATAAATAAACGTTGAAAAAAAAAAAATAAAAAAAAAAAAAAAGAAAATAACTTTAGAAAAAGTGGTATGACTAACTCCACGTAATTTAAAAAATAACAGTTTTATTGACATATAATTTATATACAGTATGTGATACAATTCACCCTTTATTGAAGTGTTCAATTTGGTTTTTAGTATATTCATAAAATCATGCAGCTGTCATCACTGTCTGATTTTAGAACATGTACATTACCTCAAAAAGAAACCTTTATGCATTAACAGTCATTGCCTATACCTCTCACTTCCTATTCCTACCTTTCCCCGGCTCCTGGCAACCACTAATATACTTTCTGTCTCTGTGGATTTGCCTATTCTGGAAGTTTCCTATAAATAGAATCCTACAATATGTTGTCTTTTGTGACTGGCTTCTTTTACTTAGCATAATGTTCTCAAGCTTCATTTATCTTATGGTGTGAATCAGTACTTTATTCCTTTTTATAATCCATTGCGCAGCTATACCACATTTTATTTACCTATTTATCAGTTGACGGACGTTTAGGTTGTTCCCATGTTTGACTATTATGAACACTGCTATTAGACTATTACGTATAATGCTGCTATGGACATTTATGTACACTTTTTTTGTATGGACCTGTATTTTTTTTAATATATAATTTATTGTCAAATTGGTTTCCATACAACACCCAGTGCTCATCTCAACAGGTGCACTCCTGAATGCCCATCACCCACTTTCCCCTCTCCCCCAACCCCCCATCAACCCTCAGTTTGTTCTCAGTATTTAAGAGGCTCTTATGGTTTGCCTCCTTCCCTCTCTGTAACTTTTTTTTTGTCCCCCTTCACCTCCCCCCTGGTCTTCTGTGAAGTTTCTCAGGATCCACCTATGAGTGAAAACATATGGTATCTGTCTTTTCTCTGCCTGATTTATTTCACTTAGCATAACACTCTCCAGTTCCATCCACGTTGCTACAAAAGGGCAGATTTCATTCTTTCTCAGTGCCAAGTAGTATTCCATTGTATATATAAACCACAACTTCTTAATCCGTTCATCAGTTGATGGACATTTAGGCTCTTTCATTTTGGCTATTGTTGAAAGTGCTGCTATAAACATTGGGGTACAAGTGCCCCTATGCATCAGCACTCTTGTATCCTTTGGGTAAATTTCTAGCAGTGCTATTGCTGGGTCATAGGGTAGGTGTATTTTTAATTTTTTGAGGAACCTCCACACTGTCTTCCAGAGCAGCTGTACCAGTTTGCATTCCCACTAACAGTGCAAGAGGGTTCCCGTTTCTCCACATCCTTGCCAGCATCTATAGTCTCCTGGTTTGTTCATTTTAGCCACTCTGACCAACGTGAGGTAGTATTTCAGTGTGGTTTTGATTTGTATTTCCCTGATGAGGAGTGACGTTGAGCATCTTTTCATGTGCCTGTTGGCTGTACGGACCTGTATTTTCATTTCTCTCAGATACATACCTAGGAGTGAAATTCTCAGGTCATATGGTAACTCCAAGTTTAACATGTCGAGGAACTGCCAAACTTTTTTTTAAAGTTCCACACTATTTTATTTTATTTTTAAACATTTTTAAAAATGATTTTTATTTATTTTTGAGAGACAGAGAGTATAAGTCGGGGAGAGACAGAGTACGAGCTGGGGAGAGGCAGAGAGAGAAGGAGACACAGAATCTGAGGCAGACTCCAGGTGCTGAGCTGTCAGCACAGAGCCTGATGTGGGGCTCAAACTCGTGAACCACAAGATCATGACCAGAGCTGAAGTCAGACAGTTAACCGATTGAGCCACTCACATGCCCCAAAGTTCCACACTATTTTAAATTGCCATCAGTAATGAGGATTTCCGTATCTCCACATCCTTGCCAACACCTGTTATTGTGTCTTTTAGCCATCCTAGTAGGTGTGAAGTGGTATGTCAATATGGTTTTGATTTTCATTTCCCTAGTAATTAATGGTGTTGAACATCTTTTCAACATGCTTATTGGCCATTCAGTTATCTTCTTTGGAGAAATGTCTATTCAGATCTTTTGCCCATTTAAAAATTGAGTTATTTGTCTTTATTCTTGAGCTATATGTGTTCTTTATATATTCTTGATACAGTCCCTTATCAGCTATATGATATTTGCTAAAATACTACTAAAATACTGAAATATTTTTATGTATAAAATAAAATAGTAATAATAGTAATGGTAATAATAATAGTAATGGTAATACTTTAACTGTTAACTAAGTATTTTTTCCTATTCTGTGGTTTGTTTTTTTTTTTACTTTCTTGATGATACACTTTGAAGCACAGAAGCTTTTAATTTTGATGAAGTCCAGTTACCTTTTTTCTTTTGTTGCTTATGCTTTTTGTGTCATATCTAAGAAATCATTGCCTACCCTTAGATCATGAAAAATTACTCCTACGTTTCTAAGAGTTTTATTATATCCTTAGCTTTGACATTTAGATCTATGATCACTTTTTCCCCCCAATTGAGTTGATTTAACTCCAGGTGGGACAGAATTTGAGGTAGATCAAAGATTGAAGAACAGACTTTGGCAAGATCCTGGGCTGGGTTTACTCTGACTTCAGAGCTAAGGTAGGAATGGCTGAGTGAGAAGAACTAAAGAGAAGAAGAGCCACTGTAAGATTTTTTATTTTTTATTTTTTTTAAATATTTTTTTAATGTTTTATTCATTTTTGAGACAGAGGAGACAGAGCGTGAGCAGGGGAGGGACAGAGAGAGAGAGCCAGATACAGAATCCGAAGCAGGCTCCAGGCTCTGAGCTGTCATCACAGAGCCCGACGCAGAGACACAAACCGCGAGATCATGACCTGAGCCGAAATCGGCCACTTAACCGACTGAGACACCCAGGCGCCCCAGGATTTTTTATTTTTACAAAAATGTATTCTTAAACATACAGCAGGGTCCAAGATGACACTTTATTCTAGCTGTAGGTGGCAACAGATACTGTGGCAGGTAATCCAAATGTTTAAACAAGAATGGAATTAAAGATCACCACTGCCTCAGGCCTCAGGCACAAGGAACAACTTTTTTTTTTTTGCCAGATTTCTTAATTCCAACTGTGGCCAGAAGATTGTTTCCCACAGCCTTCACTTTTAGCCCCCTGAGTTTCTTCTCTTTTTGTTTCTGCTTGAATGCCTTATCTTCCTAGTTCATTTCCTTGGCCTGCTTCTTTGGCTATTTCAGGGGCTTACCACCTTCACAGCTGGCCTCCTGCTCCTTCCCCAGACTCTGCCACCAGAAGCAGAGCCCCTTACCCCAGCCCTGTACCTATACTTACAGTATATGATCACTTTAAATTGATTTTGGCACATAGTGTGAGGAAGGGGCTCAAATTCATTCTTTTGCATGTAGCTACGCAGTTTTCTCAGTACCATTTATTGAAAAGACCGTTCTTTCTGTTGATTCTAACAATCAAAAGATTGTTTTGACACCTTTATCAAAAGTTAGTTGAGCATAAATGTAGGATGGTATATTTAGGATTCTCAATTCTATTTCATTGATGTACATCGATCTTTATGCCAATACCGTAGTATCTTGATTATTGTGGCTCTTGATTATATTTTGAAATCAGGAAGTGTGAGTCCTCTAACTTTGTCCTTTTTTCAGGATTATTTTGACTCTTCTGGGTCCTCTGCATTTCCATATGAGTTTTAGGGTTAGTCAGTTTCTCCAAAAAAGCAGCTAGAATTTTGATAGAGATTGTGTTGAATCTATAGATCAATTTGGGGAGTATTGCCATCTTAACAATATTAAATCTTGCAAACCATGAGCATGGGAATGTCTTCCCAGTCTTTTTTTAGATCTTCTTTAATTTCTTTCAACAATGTTTTGTATTTTTCAGTGTACAGGTCTTGCATTTTTTTTGCAAAATTTATTCCTTAGTATTTTATTCTTTTTGATGCTTTTGTGAGGAGAAATGTTTTCTTAATTTCATTTTGAATTATTCATTGCCAATGTATAGAATATGATTTTTTATATATTGTTCTTTTTTCTTGAAGCCTTGCTAAACTCATTATAGTTTCTTTGTGTGTGGATTCCTTAGGATTTTCTATATGCAGGATCATGCCATCTGCAAATAAGATAATTTTACTTCTTTTTCAGTTTGGATACCTTATATATATATATATATTTTTTTTTTTCTTGCCTAATTTCCCCAGGTAGGATCACAAATACAGTGTTGAATAGAAGTAGTGAAAATGGACATCCTTGTATTGTTGCTGATTAGAGAGAAAGCATTCAATCTTTCACTATTAAGTATGATGCTAGCTGTAGGTTTTCTGCAAATGCCCCTTATAAGATTGAGGGAGTTCTTTTTTATTGATAGTTTTGTTTTGTTTTGTTGTTTAAGATTTTTATTTAAAAAAAAATTTTTTTTTAACGTTTATTTTTGAGACAGAGAGAGACAGAGCATGAATGGGGGAGGGTCAGAGAGAGGGAGACACAGAATCTGAAACAGGCTTCAGGCTCTGAGCTGTCAGCACAGAGCCCGACGCAGGGCTTGAACTCACCGCGAGATCATGACCTGAGCCAAAGTCGGCCGCTTAACCGACTGAGCCACCCAGGCGCCCCTAAGATTTTTATTAAGTAGTCTCTACATCCAACATGGAGCTCAAACCCACAAGCCTGGGAACAAGAGTCGCATGCTTTACCAACTGAGCCAGCCAGGTGCCCCAAGTTTGTTAAGTGTTGTTTTGTTTTTTTTATCATGGAATGGTGTGGATTTTCTGTCTCATCTTTTCCACTTTTGTTGAGGCAATCATGTTGTTTTTATATTCTATTAATATGGTATATTACATTAATTGACTTTTGGATGTTAAATTGATCTTACCTCCTGTAATAAATCCCACTTGGTCACAGTGTATAGTTTTTTTATGTTACTTCACTCAGTTTACTATTGTTGTGTTCAGGATTTTTGCATCAATATTATATGGGTCACTGGTCTGCAGTTTTATTTTCTTTTGATATCTGTGTTTGGTTTGGGTATCCGGCTAATACTGGCCTCATAGAATTAGTTAGGACGTATTCCCTCCTCTTCTGTGTTTTGTTGGTTTTTTTTTTTGGGGGGGGGGAGACAGAGTGTAAGCAGGGGAGGGGCAGAGAGTAGGAGACCCAGAATCTGAAGTAGGCTCCAGGCCAACGCTGAACTCATGGGCTGTGAGATCATGACCTGAGCTGAAGTCGGAAGCTTAACTGACTGAGCCACCCAGGTGCCCCTCCTCTCCTGTTTTTGAAAGAGTTTATGCAGAATTGGTATTAATTTTTCTTTAAACATAGGGTATCATTCATGTGTAAAGCCCTTGGGCCTGAGCTTTTCTTTATGGGAAGTTTTAAAGTTACTAATTCAATCTCTTTACTTGTTACAGGTGTATTCAGATTCTTTTTCTTCTTGAGTTAGTTTTAGAAGTTTGTGTTTTTCTATGAACGTTTCCATTTCATTTGGATTATCTAATTTGTTGCCATACAGCTATGTAATTTGTGAATATTTTCAGTCATTCTATGGGTTGTCTTTTCTCTTTCTTGATAGTGTCCTTTGATTCCACTTTTATTTTTGAGGTTAATTATTTGTTGATTTAAATAACCTTTATGCCTTGATTAAAAGTATAATCTCATGAAATTATGGTGACTTCTTGCTGTGAAATAGCAATTTGTGAATCTTAACGTACCTGTGAATATGCATCTCTGCTTTTCTTTTCTAGTAGCTGTTAATTAAGGAAGAAACTACTTCAAAAAGATACTTTGCCTAGAAATAAAATGAAAAAGAATCCTAAGTAAAGTTGATTAATTTACTGTTTTTTTCCCCTTTGCAGTAGAATGCATTAGTAAATATTTTATAATATACTTTATTCTAGGAAATAAAGTGAATAGTTTTTCTGTTAGTGATATCCATTATACTGAATACTACTGTCTTTCTGATATATGGGTATTTTACATTCTCTTATAAAAAGAAGGTCGTTCTGTTTTTCTGTTTGTTTTGTTTTTTGTTTTTGTATTTTAATTGTAAAGACAAAGCCACCTGTGCTTCTCACTCTTTGGGATTGAGGGAGTGATATTGATAACAGTTGCTGTGGCCAAGATTCATGTAGCAACCATGATAGCAGAAGGGGAGATTGAGGCTACATCTAACTTTTGGGGAAAATTTGTTTTAATGCAGTTTTCTTAAGATAACTTTTTTCAGTGGAGGAGGAAATTGAGGTCATGAAGAAAGAGAGAAGTAGATAAAAATCAACTGAATTTGAATCATGCAATAATGTATGATTTTCTGTTGCTTTATCTTTTATAGCTAATAAAAGCTATATGTTTAACTCTATCCATATTCTTTATCTTTTTTGTTTTTTTTTTTTTTTTGAAGCTTATAGTAGCTGTTGAACAAGAAGAAATTCCCAGACTTCAGGCCTTATATGAGAGAGGCCGGCAGAATGGTGTCCAGGGCTTAAGGCTAATCCAACAGGAGGATATAAAAAAGAAGGAGCCATATTGTAGGGTAAGTGATTCACTAACTCTATGTACATGCTCACGGGGATATTTTTGTTTAGGGCTCAGTACTGTGACATGGAGGCTGAGGGTGAATTTATAGGAGGCATGAATTACTGCTTCTGTGACAGTGAGGTGACAGACACAAGAGGGCTTGCCATAAACTGAACACCTGATTTCTTCTTTCTTTGTGAGAAAATACCAAATCTGAAGAACATAAACAAAGGCAAGAGGAGGTCTGAGACCATATGGCATATTGGGAAAGCATTGAACAGTGAGGTATGGTTGAATCCTAGGATATGTAGGGAGAGATAATAGATGTGACTAGAAAGGCAGGATTAGGTGTGTGTAAAAGGCCTGATATTCCTGCTAATAGCTTTGAAATTAGTAGGCATGGGGAGCCACTGAAAATTTTTGAGGAGGGTAGCTACATTATCCATGAGTGTGAAGGGTAGGTTGTAGAGTATCTTGCTTAGAACATGCTATGGGGAGAACAGATCTTTTCTTTAGGAAAGAGACATGAATAATATTTTAATAGTTACTCTGCATATTGACTTTCTTTGATAGTCTTTCAGAGGCTATCAGTCCAACCCCCAGTTCCACTAACTGTTCTAACGAATGGCTGTTATCTCCTGTTCTGCCCGCCCCCTCCATTTTATTGACCATGTACAATAGCAGGACTCTAGGTACCGGTCCTAGAGAATGTGACTTTGAACTCACTGCCAGGCAATGCTTATCAAAAGCTTGGTGTATGGGAAATAAAAACACAATTTATGAGCAGTATCCTGAAGGATAGGTAGACCACTTATTCCCATACACAGTGGCACACCTTCACTGCACTGTTTGTCTCTCCCCATGCTACTCCTCTATCCCAAATTACTCTCCTTGAATTGTTCTTTGGTTTTATGGCGTCAGCCTAAGGAGAAGGTCATTGTGACACCGTGGCCTCTACTGTTAGGATGGGGTCAAGGACATAGGTTGTTCATTTTGTTACCCAACATCTCTCTCTCTGAAAACCCTCAGGAGAAATTTTCCTCAAACTTCATTTCTAAGAATAATTGTGTTCTTTCTGAGCACAGTTGGCTTGTTTTTATCTTACAAACACTGAATCATTTCATTGATTGTGTTGTTGTGTATGTCTTGACTGCCAGGAAGCTAAGAGACACATTTGTGCCCCACTCCTGCCAGATATTTAGGTCCTTAAGCATACGTTTTTATTTTTATGTCTTAACTTCCTTCTTCATTTCCTTATATCTTTCTACTCTCATTTCCTCTCTGCCTTGATTTTTTGTACTTTTTTTCATTTAATCATAACATATAACAATCATAAATGTACAGCTTGGTGAACTTTCATAAACAGCAGAACATTACCAGCCTCGCGGTATTCTCCTCAAGCCCCCTCTATCACTACCTTTCTCTTAAGAGTAAACACTATCCTCGCTTTTTACATCACAGGTTTGAATTGTATTTAAGTGGAATCATGTAGTATGTGCTCATTTTTGACTGAACTTAGTTATAAGTTTATAACTGTAGTTATAAGTTTCCTTGCTGTACTATTAATAGTCCATTGTATGAAGGTAGAGGTCAAGATACATTTTTTTTTCCATATGGATACCCAAATGACCCAGTACAGTTTATCAAAAAGACCATTATTTCCGCATTGCACTGCAGTCTTACCTTTGTGATATCTGGTGACTGTATGTGTGGGCTCTATGTCTGGACTCTGTTCTGTTACATTGTCTCTTGTTTTACCACTACCATAATATCTTAATTACCATAGCTTTTTAGTAGGCTGAAATACCTGGTACAGTAATTGCTTTAGTTTTGTTCTTCAACATTGTCATGGCTGTTCTTGGATCTTTGTATTTCTATATACATTTTAGAATTAATTTGTTAAACTCCACAAGGTAACCTTTTGTGATTTTAATTGAGATGGCATTGAATCTGTAGGGCCATTGGAGACAATTTATATCTTCACAGTATTTAATCTTCCAATCCATCAACATAGTAGATCTACCTATTTATCTGTATCTTCTTTAATTCATTGCAAAAATGTGTTATAATTTTCAGTGCAGAGGTCTTTCATATCTCTTAGTTTCATTTCTAAGTATTTGATGTTTTTGATACTCTCATAAATCGTATTGTTACATAAAGTTCATGTTCTACTTGTATGTTGCAAATGTATGAAAATATAATTGATTTTTGACCTTGCATACATCTTAGTTGTTAAATTCACATATTCTCGTAGTTTGTCTATACTGTATTTTATTCTTTTTTGGATTTTCTATTGACAGTAATGCTGTCTGCAAATAATTCTTTCTTTCCAATTCATATACTTAGCTGGCTCAATATGTAATGCTAGTGTCAAGTGTTTTTAAAAAATTGTTTTTAAACGTTTACCCATTTTTGAGAAAGAGAGAGTGAACAATTGGGGGAGGGGCAGAGAGAGAAGGGCACAGAGGATCTGAAGCAGGCTCTGTGCTGACAGCAGAGAGCCTGATGTGGGGCTTGAACTCACAAATCCTGAGATCATGACCTGAGTCAAAGTCAGACACTTAACTTACTGAGCCACCCAGTCACCCCTGTTTTTTTTGTTTTTATTTTAGAGAGAGCACGCATGAGTGGGGGAGAAGGGCAGGGGGGAGAGAGAGAATCTTAAGCAAGCTCCATTGAGGTGCCCGATGCAGTGGGATCATGACCTGAGTTGAAATCAAGAGCTGGGTGGATGCTCAACCAACTGAACCACCCAGGCACCTCTAGTATATATTGTTTTGTGTTCCTTGTTTGTTTTTACAAGCTGCTTCAAATCTTTTCTGCAAAAAAGACAAGGTAGAAATAGACTTTTTTCCCCTGAAGTTATCTTTACTTGTATAGTTGAAGTTGGGTTTAAATACATGGTTCTCTTGGGGCTCCTGGATGGCTCAGTCAGTTAAGTGTTGGAATTCCACTCAGGTCATGATCTCATGGTTCTTGAGTTTGAGCCTCGCATTGGGCTCTGTGCTGACAGCTCAGAGCCTGGAGGCTGCTTCAGATTCTGTGTCTCCCTCTCTCTCTCTGCTTCTCCCCTGTTCACGCTCTGTCTCTCAAAAATAAATAAATGTTAAAAGAATTTTAAATAAAGAGTTCTGTCTAAAAAAAAAAAAAGAAAGAAACCAGCTTTTCACACATCGTAAGGTTAAAGATGAGTCTGGATATTGTGCTATGCCCCTGATCATGTGATCTTTACGGGTCTCAGAATGAGGTAGATGAGCTATGTGTACATAGATCATCAAATTACATATCTACATGTATTTTTTGTCTTAAAAATGAATAAAGTGATTTAATTACTTTGCCAAGGTCACACAGCTTCTAAAGAGTCCCCTGCCCCCAGATCTGATTCAGAATTGGTATTTCTTCTATTCAGTTCCACCAACATTTTCTTCTTTACTAAATGCCAAATACTATGGTAGGTACTACAGATAAGAAGATGAGGAAGAAATGGTGGTCAACCTAAAGAAAGTTACAGTGTAGCAGAAGATGTAATTTTAATACAGTGATAAGTATTTTGATAGAACTGATACTTGGTTTATATCGATGTACAGAAAAGCTTTTAGCTTCATCCAGGAGTTTAAGAAAGCATTCTTTAGGTGAACCTTCACTTGAAAGATAAGTAAGGAGTGTAACTTATAAAGGAGGTACATCTTGCTTTTCTCTGCGGCCTCTGCAGAACTGATCTACTTTATATAATGCCACATTAGCATTATCTGACACTTTATATAATGGCACATTGTAATTATCTGTGCCTAGATATATTTCATGGTGGCAATGTATAGTGGAAAATACAGTCTGGTTATTTCAGAAAGGTCTCTTGAGTGAATTTCTCCCTTGTCCTTCAACCCTATGCTACTACCAGGACTGGTGGGCAAGATTTCTATGGTATGGGGTCATATCTGTTTCTTCCAGCCTCTCCACAAAGAAAAAATTTATCAGGGCAGCTCTAATAGGTCTCTTTTTGGACCAGGTCTCTTTAAGAAGGAGATTAAATAGGGGCACCTGGGTGGCTTCATTGGTTAAGTGTCTGACTTTGGCTCAGGTTGTGATCTCTCGATTTGTGGGTTTGAGCCCCACATCGAGCTCTGCACTGGCAGTGTGGAGCCTGCATGGGATTCTCTCTGCCCCTGGCCCACACTCTCCCAAAAAAAAAAAAAAGAAAAAAAAAAAAAAAGAAGATTAAATACCAAATACCCCCAAGGGGAGCATCTCGAAAAATTTTTTTAATGCTTATTTATTTTTGAGAGACAGAGGGGATGGGAAGGGCAGAGAGAAGAAGTCACAGAATCCTAAGCAGGTTCGAGGCTCTGAGCTGTCAGCACAGAGCCTGATATGGGGTCCAAACTCAAAAACCACGAAATCATGACCTGAGCCGAAGTGGGATACTTAACTGACTGAGCCACCCAGGCGCCTCCACCTTAGAAAATTTTTAAATGCCTTTGTAAACTTTGACTTTAGAGGATAAGTCTTGCCAATTCTCTGTCTGGGCAAATCCTGATTGCTCACTCTGACCTTAGCTTTCCTGATCTTGCTGCCCTTTCTTAAACACTGTTGGTCAACCACACATTCATCTGTTCCTCTCTCCTCCTGACTGACTTCCAGCTCCCAAATTTCTGTGTCCTGCTTGCCTGGTTCTTTTCCAGCCACCTGACCTGCAGTGGCCTCAGATTTCAAGCTCTGACCTGCTAACCTGTATGGTGCATGCCCAGCCCCCTAGCTGACAGCCAGCCTGTCCACCAGTCCCTTCCTGCGCCAGGGTATTGGATTGCTTAGCAGCAGTGACTCACTCCACCTTACCTTCCCCCAACATTTACGTAGAGTGGGGCACACCAACATCTCATGAGGAGGAGCAAAACCGAGACTAGAAAGAGAAAGAAAAGAAGGCAGACCTTTAAGGGAAGGTAGAGAAGGGGGAATATCTAGTATGTTTAAAGACGGTCCTCAGAAGTTCATTCAGTAAATGTTTGAGTGCCTTCTGTGTGTCAGGCATTGTATTGGGTAATAGGAAAATAAGATGAATATGGAAGATATTTGGGTTTCTAAAAAACTATTGATATGAAGCACTTTTACAGCATGTTTTTGTCCCTCTGTTATCTTATTTGTCATGTCGTTTATGCAAATTGAGTTTTTGTGACTAAACTCTTGGTATTATCCTAAGGTAATTTTTCCAAGGGTATTGTACCCTAAATATTGTTTATAGTTTGAAGTTGGATTATAACTATTGACTTGTGAATTTGGAAGTGGTCAGGCAATATAAGGTCTAATATAAAAATCTTAAACTTGTATCTACTACATTGAGACAGAAGGAATGATTTTTGTGTTTGGCAAATGATCTCATATTCTGGAAGCAAGAATAAAGTTTGCCAAATGTTGCTTTCAATTTGTGACAAGAGACTGTTGTGTGTTTTATGTGCCTTTTACCCCTGGTGTGATCTGGACATTTGGAATTAATGGTCAGGGATGGGTAGCAAAGTTAAAAGCTTTTAAAGGCTAAGCAAGTAAATGTATTGGAGTTGCAGTGGGACTGACTATAAGAATAAGATATTTAAAGTAATACTATCAGATGTTATTGTAAAACTGCAACAACACCAGTTCCCTGCTGGCCAGACAAGAGAATGGTAGCATTTACCAGTCACACTCAGCTTCTCGGCATTAGTTGTACCAGGAACCAGGCTACCACCCTCTTAGGAAAGTTGATTAGCAGAACTGATACACTCACATACACAGTAAGGCAACAGAAAATGATGCTATTCCCAAGGATCCACCAAAATCTAGTCAATACTTGGTATGTGAAATTCTGTTCTTATTCTTTTTCTTTTTAAGTTTATTTTAGAGAGAGAGAGGGTGTGCAAGTCAGGGAGAGGGGCAGAGGGAGGGAGCGAGAATCCTAAGCAGGCTCCACGCTCAGCATGGAGCCCAGTGCAGGGCTCGATCCCATGAACCCAGGATCATGACCAGAGCCAAAATCAAAAGTCAGACACTCAACCAACCGAGCCATTCAGGCGCCCTCTATTCTTATTCTTAAGAATTAGAAAAGGCCAATACACATTCAGCATTTGTTGAAAAAGTTAAACAAGTATGATTGTAGACCATTCATCTGTAGGGTTTAAGCATGTTTTGAGTGGCAAAACAAAAACAAACCCCACAAAACAACAACAAAAAAACTCAGGCTATTAATTTCTTATATTACCTGAAGTGAAAGTTTGCATTAACTATATAAAATCTCCATTCAGCATTTGTAGTCTTGAAGATAAGAGTCTGCAGCAAATTAGATCAATGCTCTGCAAATGTTGTAAAAAGCTAGAACAACTCTGAGTCTTCACTGAATGTGCATGGGAAAATCTCAGTGGAGTTTTTTTAAAACAATCATATGGTGATACAGAATTTGACTCCGAATTTGACTCACTATCAGATATGGTGAGGGATGAATAAAACTGAAAAACTCATTGTAGCAGCCAGAAGAGCCCAGCAAAATTAACTTCCCTAGAGGAGAATTATTTCCTAAGTATAGAGATTTTCTTACTTAGCTAGTATTATTTCTTTATTTACTAGACACTTTATTCAACATCAAATTTAGGCACTGAATTTTTGGCAAGAAATGATAATACATGTGATCCATCAAAGTTAACAGTAAAAAAGTTCAGCCGCAAATAAAATTTATTGAGCAACTATCCTCAATGATTTTTAATTGTATTATCTTGACTTTTTCATAAACCTATCTCAGGGTCTAATGGCTATTGATTGTCCATACACTGGCATTGTGGACTATCGGCAGGTGGCTTTGTCATTTGCCAAGGATTTCCAAGAAGCAGGTGGCTTTGTCTTGACCAATTTTGAAGTAAAAGATATTGAATTGGCTAAAGAAAGTCCTTCAAGAAGTAAAGATGGTAAGCCATCCTTGTCTTTTCTTCTGAATACGAGTATTGACTTCTGAACCAACTTGGAACTAGTTTTGGCTGGCGTGGTGCTGGTGGGAGGGCCTCCAGGAACTAGGCTAAAGTAGGGTGCAAAGCTGGATGCATGTGCAGAAGGGATGAGTGTGAGATTGGACGTGGGAGAACTGGGGCTTCTGGTGAGTCTTGTGCTGATAGAATTTGTCACTGATTGGACACTTCTGATTGGCGCTAAAACCTGAACTGCCAAGGCTGTTAATGGAAAACCAGCCCCCAGACACTTGCTTATTTGTAGGTTACAGTCAAAATTCCTTGGGGATGCTTATTAAAAATGCAGATTTGGGGGCACTTGGCTGACTCAGTTGGAAGAGCATGCAACTCTTGATCTCAGGGTCGTGGGTTTGAGTCCCATGTTAGGTATAGATATTACTTAAAAATGAAATCTTTAAAAAAAAAAAATGCAGGGACACCTGGGTGGCTCAGTTGCTTGAGTATCTGGCTTTTGATTTCAGCTCAAACTTTCTCTCCAGGTAATATGAGAAATTAATAGCCTGAGTTTTTTCTTGTTGTTTTGTGGGGTTTTTTGTTTTTGTTTTTACACTCAAAGCATGCTCAAACTCTACAGATGAATGATCTACAATCATACTTATTTGACATTTTGGAATAAATGTTGATTGTGCAATTGGCCTTTTCTAATTCTTAAGAATAAGAATAGAGGGGTGCCTGAATGGCTCAGTTGGTTGAGTGTCTGACTTTTGATTTTGGCTCTGGTCATGATCCCAGGGTCATGGGATCAAGCCCTGTGTTGGGTTCAGTGCCGAGCGTGGAGCCTGCCTAGGAATCTCTCTCTCTGCCCCTCTACCCCTTTCCCTCATGCTCTCTCCTTTTCTTTCAAAATAAAAAATAATAATAATAAAAGTTAAAAATTTTTAGCATACTCAGTCTTAGTGGATCAGACTATCTGGAGACAGGGCACAACTGTTGTAGACTACTTTGAGCTTGTTTTGTTTTGCTTTGTTGTGGGGATATTTTATTCCTTTTTTTTTTTTTTTAAGTAGGCTTCATGCCCAGCATGGAGCCCAAGGTGGGGCACAAACACAAGATCCTGAGATCAAGATCTGAGCTGAGATCAAGAGTTGAACATTCAACTGATTGAGCTACCCAAGTGCCCTGCTGACAATTTTTTTAAAAACCCAATGAATAGATTTGTAACCTTGAATTTTTTGACATTTTTGCTATTGGGAAATTTGAAGGAGAAAAAGTGTAGTGCTCAGTTCTTCCTTGACAGGTTTTTAAGGAGATCTGAGCCATCTGAATCATTTTCCCAGTGTCCTTCTGAATTGTAATATGATGAACAAAACTGTTAAATAATTAATATTGGTATAGGTAGGTAGCATAAAATCAAATTTATGATACAAATAGATTGTTTCTTTACTTGGTGTACATATGCTTTTTAAGACTTTGAGACCCCATGTGTCTGATTGGGAAATAATTTTATAAATAGTTTATGATTGGAACTTTTTGTGTTGCTTCTCTACACAACCCAGAATCAGCGAAGACTCAGGTTACCTACACTTAGACAAAAAAGCATTCATTAGTCCTTTGTGAAAATACATACTGATTAATGATCTTTTACAAAATTGTTTCTAGGATTGTAGTTCAGAGAAAAGCCAGAACTGCTTGTGTTGGATCTGAAGTGGGGAGTGGTCTATTAGCATAGATTCAGTGAATTAAAACAAGTTTAAAAATATGCCAAGAGTTTTATATATTATCAAATATGAACTAGTTTAATCTTGTTGCTTCATAAAAAGCTTTAGAATGAAAGTGGGAAGCAGAAGAAAATTGTTTAAATTTGATACTAGTATAATATTTCTAATAATGTAGGCCTTATTTTACTAAAAATCTTTCACTAATTCTTTTTTTTTCAGGGATGAAATATCCAATTGTTATAAGGAATACAAAGGTAAAGATTCTTAAGCAAAACTACTTTATCTAATTTAACCCCCCTCCTCCCTCAAAAAGTTTAATCACAGCGCTGTTTTCTATGTGTGTGAATGAATTTTGTATAATGTAGAAGTTGTTCTGAGAGAAATTCTTTGAGGGCAATTCAAAAGCTTGCTTTCTAAGAAGGGTTTCAACTTGGAAATGTATTCACAAAGTGATTGTGCCAGCCAAGAATAGGATTATAAGCACTTGGAGTGTTTAAGGCAACACTGATAAATACTTTATTGCTCCGCCTACTTATCTGCATTTACTTATTAGCTTTCTACCAATTAGAGGACTTTGGTGGCAGGTAGATTGCTGAGAGGGAAATGAACTGGTTTCCTTCACCTCCACGTAGTCTAAAACAAGAGCTATTGGATGGCAGAGAAGCATTACATTTGCTGTGTGTTCTCTGAATGATCAGAGTTCAGTCAGGCAAGTTGAATCATTAATGAGGTTGTAGGATTCATTATAGGAATTAGGCATTACACAATTGTGAGGGCTTCTGGGGAAGCAAAGGCTCAGAAGGGGAGTTGGTAGATCAGAGGCATTTCCAGCCGGTGTGAGAAGCCAAGTGTGTCCAACTGCTAAAGTGGGACTGCAAATGGGAAGCTCATGAGGCTTTCTGGGGGAGCTCTTGCCTCTTACCCAGGCAGTGGGCTAGGGCAACAGTTGGTCAGTAGGATCAGTATTTGGGAAGCAGGGCTAGATATGGAACTGTCATTCCCTGAGCAGTGAGTTTTGTCACCACATTGGACTAGAATGACCTTCAGAGAGTAGTGGCTGCTGCTTTACTTCTGCCTGCCAAATCATATGCAATTCCTATTTTGATCAATTTTAAGTTGGAACCATTACAGGGAAGGGAATTCTGTCAGTTACAGTTCCCACCTTAACCAAATCGACAAAGATAAATGCCTGCAGTCCATTCCTTTACAACTTGGCATTCATTCACACCCCTTTTAACCACATGTAACTTCCAAGTACAGACAGTAGTAAAATTACTGTTCCACCTACAAGATGAAATTATCTTTTATACAACTGAAGACATGGTAACTCTTCGAAAAAGATAGGAAGTCCACTCAATCCATCTTTGGGTGATGTTCATTTCTTTTTAGCTGAGTCACATTCCCTCTTTGAGATCCTTTAACTTAAATATTGAGATACAAGGTTAACCACTATTTAAACTTATTAGATCAATAGTTCTCAATTGGAGGTGATTTTGCTCCTAAGGGGATGATATTTAGCAGTGTCTGGAAGCATTTTTGTTGGTACAACTGATGGAGGGGGTCAGCACTACTGGCATTTAGCAGGTAGTGGCCAGGAATGCTGCTAAACATCCTGCAATGTGAGGAATAGGCCCCTATAACAAAGAGGTATCTGGCCTCAAATGTCTGTGGTACTGAAGTTGAGAAACGCTGTGTTAGATAATGGAGAAATGGTAGAGATGGTATTAATCTCTTTGGGTACCATAACAGAATACCACAGATGAGGTGGCTTAAACAGAAATGTATTTTCTCATAGTTGGAGTCTAAGCAGTCTAAGATCAAGGTGCCATCAGGATTGGTTTCTGATGAGCTCTCTCTTCTTGTCTTGTAGATGGTTGCCTTCTTGCCGTGTCCTCACATGGCTTCTTCTCTGTGCATGCACATGTGCAGAGAGAGAGCAGTCTCTGGTATTTCTTACTCTTATAAGCACACCAGTCCTGTTGGACAGATTAGGTGAGCTCAGTTAATCTTCATTACCTCCCCAAAGGCTCTTGTCTCCGAATGGCCACATTGGGAGCAGAAGCTTCAGTGTATGCCCTTGTGGGGGCAGACACAATTCAGTCCATAACAGTGAGGATAAAGAAAGAATTAATAATATATAGATAGTAATATAGATTACTAATATAGTATATAGATAGTATGTAGATTACTGATATAGATATTAGTAATATATAGATAAATATATTTATTTCAAAGTCAGGAAGAAATATTCATAACTACTACAGTTCATAACCACTACGATCATGTGGTTATAGCTGATATTTATAATTTCCTTCTTTCACTACGTATTCCATAGTTCCTTTGCTCTTGGCAAGCATCTCAGCTGGTCATGTTCCAGTGTGGTGGGATAACTCAAACTTTCATTCCCAAAGTGTCCGTGCAATTAGCAGCCCTGCCTGTTTTGGGTTGTGGTAGTTTCCATTAACTTTTATATCAATCATAGGAGTACTAAGACATGCCCTAGGAGATCTATATTTGGGATGTATTTCTCTTTATCACCCACAAGCTCTCTGTGTGGTAGCAACTCTCATTCTCCTTGAGAGTTATTTTCAGTTTCCCATTAAGTACAGTAATCCCCTCTGCCTGTTCACTGATACAAGGAACTCAAAGTGGCCAGGTATGGCGGTGTCAACTTATAGGTTAATGGAATCAATTTTTTATTCTCTAATGGCAGCATTTCTCCCTTGGGAACTAAGACTTCTAGACATCAGAGCCCAAAGTTGTGAAGATAGAAAGCAAAAATTTCATTAGTGGATTATTCTAATAGTAAGGAGCTACTCCCATTTCTACCTCTTGATTTCTGACTCTGGAGAAACAACACCATATATTAATCATATAGGACATCCTGGAAGACATTGCCCCAGACCTGCAAGGTGTTGCCAGTCAGCTAGTTTTGTTTTGCATCTTCAAAAAACCTGTTTTTCTTTCTGTCACCTAGCAGCTTCAGGATGATGGGGAACGTGGTCAAATCAGTGATCTCCACAAGCATGAGCTTATTGTTACACTTCATTTGTTGTAAAATAAGCTCACTGATCAGAAGTAATGCTTCTGGGCAAAATATCCTAATGGTGAATAAGGCATCCTGTAGGTTCACAGATAGTGGTTTCTTCAGAAGCATTGTGGGCAGGGAAGACAGATTTATATTCAGAACAAGTATCTATTTCAGTGAGGACTAAGTATTGCCCCCCCCCCCTTTTTTTTTAAATAGAAGTGGTTCAGGGACCATATCTTTGGCTCTATTGATCTCTACTATTGGCATATTGAGCATTCAGCCATGGCTATGGACAGACCAGCCTTAGGGAGTAAGTCCATGTTGCTGAACCTATCACCACCTCCATCCTTTTTGCTATAACCATTTAGTTCATGAGGCTATTGGGTAAGGACAGGGATGCCTGGAGAAAGAGGCTAACATCCACAGAGCAGGTCATCTTGTCTACTGATTATCAAAATCTTCATCTGCCATGGTTCCTCTTCAGTGAGCATTCCTATGGAGCTCATATATCTTTTACTCTCTGAGCCTGTTTGGAAAGGTCCATTCATGTACTTTTTTTTTTTTCCAGAGCTCCTTTTCCTAACTAACCAGCCATAGCATTAGTCATTGCACATGAAGCAATATAGATCCATACTTTTAGTCATGTCTCCTTCTAGGTAAGATATATAACAGGTATGGTGTTCAGAGTTCTGCCTACCAGGAAGATTTCCTTTCACTGCAGTCTTTTAGGGTCACTCCTGAGTGGGACTCTGGTTTGTAGCTGTTTACTTTCCAGTGCCAGAATGTTGTGTACAGAACTATTTGTAAATCAAGCCTGTAGTTTTTCTTCTTTGGTCAACTGATCATGGAGAACTTCTCATAGGGCCACAGGAGCAGCTTGAGAAGGAGGAAGTAATTTAGCAGGACTAGGGGCCATGGGAATTTGAGCCACCTGCCTCCACAATCTATGTGTGCCTGCAGGACCTGCACAACCCTAACCTTGTATATTCTGCTACCCCTTGATGACAGGGTACTACTGTAAACACCCAATTTTGTGGCTTGGTGAGTCAGACAACATACACAGTTAATAATGAGTAGTTTACATGGTAACTTAGTGACCTGTGGTCAAGTGTTGAGTCAAAGCCAGAAGTACTTTCTCAAAAGGAAGACAGTTATCTGCAGAGGATGGTATAACTCCTCCAAAATCCTAAAGTTCTGTGCTGTGATTTGGCTATAGGGACCTAGCAAAGTCTCCATAAGACATCACTATTTGCCATAGACACCCTGATTACCATCAGATCCACTGGGTCATGTGGCCCAGGTGACAGTGCATCTAAGATTTCCATTCAAAGAAGGATTAAAAGTCCGTTTCTACTCTTGCCCTCATCGAAGGGCCATCTTCACTAGAGTATGGCATCATGTGATGGAGGATATGCAGGGGCCTCTGGGATGCCAGTGAGTATGTATTTCAACCCCAGATGCTATAACTGTTGCCTTTTATTTGGGCATTAACTTTTAGTATAGTTAGATATAATGTAAAAATTTTGAGTCAGCTTATCAAATTGAACTTCTATGCTTTTATGAGAGGTTAAAGAGATTAAATTAATAAATTTGGGGGGGAGAGGTTTTGCAAACTAAAGATTTATACATATTAGGAAAAAGTTTGTTTTACTTCTGAAATAGCAATAGAGATGCATAGTTTTTTTTTTTTAAAGAGATTTTTGTTTGAACAAATACATCATTTACTGTTTATCTAAATCTCCATTTTGGATGTGAAATTAATGTATTACTGAATTTAGTTATTATTTCATGTGTAGCATAAAATGATTTCAGGGACCTATGATAGGTTTTAGTCATTTCTTCCTTTGGAATTGTTCCTTGAGTTTTTTTTAAATTTTTTTTTCAACGTTTTTAATTTCATTTTTGGGACAGAGAGAGACAGAGCATGAACGGGGGAGGGGCAGAGAGAGAGGGAGACACAGAATCGGAAACAGGCTCCAGGCTCTGAGCCATCAGCCCAGAGTCTGACGCGGGGCTCGAACTCACGGACCGTGAGATCGTGACCTGGCTGAAGTCGGACGCTTAACCGACTGCGCCACCCAGGCGCCCCTGTTCCTTGAGTTTTTTAAAGAGAACTTCTAGGTTGTTGCATACTGGTACCATTCTACAAATTCTCTTATCTTTACATTTATCCAGAGTTGTATTTACAATTTATGTTGCAAGAACAAAAGAATTGCTGACCTTTCAAGTAGGAACTAGTAAATTTATATCACATAAAAATCTTTCTTGTACTTCTGGTATAACTCTAGATGAACAGGAAAGATAGGAACCTATTTAAAAGAAAGCATTTTTTGTTTTTGTTGACATAGCTCTTTTGACTTCAAGGGTTTTTAAACTATTATGGTTTAGTCTAGCTAATTTGACTTCATTACAAAAAAGTTTCATCTGACTTTTGTCTGAAGTGTGAGTTGTATAACTCGAAAAGAAGCTAGGGGTGGGTGGATGACTCAGTCAATTAAGCCTCCCGACTCTTGATTTCTGCTCGGGTCATGATCTCACAGTTGTGGGTTCGAGCTCTGCATAGGGCTCTGTGTTGTCAGCGCGGAGCCTGCTTGGAATTCTCTTTCCCTTTCTGCCCCTCCCCCGCTTTCTCTCTCTCAAAATAAATAACTAAACTTAAAAAAAAAAAGAGGCTTACCTTTGCAGCTAGGCAAAAATAGGATGTAAAGATAGAATAAGGCTGAATCAACAGGGGCTGAAAAGAAATGTTGTTGAGACAGGTAAGAACTCTGAGGCTTCAGAAACAGGTTGTCTGGGAAAGAAGTCTAGGGACAGCAAATTACTTGGAGCAAGGAGGTGCTAGTTGTTTACTCTGTAAAAATTAAAGAGATGGGAATTAAAGTATAGTGGGGAATTGGGGTTAAAGGAAACCATTTAGGAAATAGGGTGGCAAATTGACTAACCCTGGCAGGATAAGGCAGAAAAATATGCAGATGATCGCAAAATAAAATGTATGGGAAAATGCAAACAGCCTAAGATTAGTGGTCTCCTAGTCACTAAAGCAAACCTTGACGATAGTATGTGTTCTCAGTAAATGTGGACTGAAAGGATAACATTTCAAATGTAGCCTCAATTTGCAAAGTAGATATTGATCAGGAAGGAGAAATTGGTTGATGGGTAGGATACAGTTGGAATTGAGCTAGATTATTGAGTGTGAACAACCTGAGAGCAACCGGGTTAACTCCTAGATAAGATGGGAGAAGCTGTCTGAAATACAGAAGAGGCCAAATTGGGGGGAACCATCCAGCTAAATGAAGTTTGTTTCTTAATATAGCAAATAGTTAAGTTTGATGCTAGGTCTTAGTAAAATAGGAGTGTGTGTTTGTCTAATTTAAGTATCCTTGCAGGGTCATTGATTGTATCTCTAAAGTATAAAATTTAAGGTGACATCCTCTTACGTGCCACTACCGTAAGTTTCTAGCTGCTACCTAAATGCTGCAGAACTTCTTTTGCTGATACTTGTATTTGATTTCCTCTTTTGAAAGAAATAGAGAATAGTTCATTTTTGTACCCTTATTATCTTTTCTGTCATCTTTTCCCCCCCTTGACCTATTTTTCTCCTCATTGCTTTCTACTCATATTTTCTTTTGCACTAGGGAGAGGAAGTTCAGTGTCAGTATGTGGTGACATGTGCAGGACTTTACTCTGACCGTATTTCAGAGCTGAGTGGCTGTAATCCTGATCCTCAAATTGTGCCATTCCGAGGAGATTACCTGATTTTGAAGCCAGAAAAATGCTATCTTGTAAAAGGAAATATTTATCCGGTAGGTAATGATGTTTCTGCCTTCTTACCCTTCTCAAGATGACTATGGGCAAAAAGGAAATGAAACAAAAACTTTTACTTGGGTCAGAAGTAAGAGCTATTTTGAAGGGCCTTTTGGGCAAATCTTTCACCAGTTTCTTTTGTCATTAAATCTTTAAATAAATCTTTATCCTAAAATCAGAGTTATGAAATTATAATTAACTGCCCACAAGTCCATGTCTCTAGAAAGCATGAGTGCACCTCAGGAAGGGCTATCAAGAAGGAACCTAATTCTTCCTCCTTTCTGATGAAAGGGGCACTCATAAGGGAACTTTCCCTTACAAGATGCCCAGATACCCAGCTGTCTTTCTTAGTTCATTATCAGTAGGTGCAGGAAAGGGGATGTGGTTACTCTAGTTTCATGGTATAGACAGAACCATTTAAATGAAGAATTCATTCTTCTCTCTGGAACTACTGGGTTGAACCAGGTGAAATTGCCACTGTTCAGCTATTTAATGTTTTTGATGGTGCCAAAACATACATTTCATCTGCCTTAACCTATTGCATTTCCACTTTCCAAAAGCCTGTACTGTAAATGTGTGTTCTTTTTCTGACAGCTCTGAGATTTTACTTGCCAGACACATAGTTGCTAGTTGGTGGGTGAGGGGCTGGGAAGTGGGGAGTAACCTGAACTAGGACAGTTCTCTCTCTTTCTCTCTCTGTCTCTCTCTTTTTATTTTAACCTAGAAAGAGGAACACATGGGACAGTGTATATTGGTATCAATAGTATCAGTGTTTCCCGTGTGGCATTTCTAGGCAGAAGCGTGTATACATAGAAAGAAATATCTGAGTAGCAGATCAAAAGTAATGCAAATTAAATGCATGGGAAGAAAGTGTTTTATATTACCAGTTGCATGTTTGCATGTTTAATAGAATGCAGTTTGAAGTGGGGCTAATAACTCTTTACCATGTTAAATCCATAGGTCCCAGATAGCCGGTTTCCTTTCCTAGGGGTTCATTTCACACCAAGGATGGATGGCAGTATTTGGCTAGGGCCTAATGCAGTTCTTGCCTTTAAACGAGAGGGCTACAGACCCTTTGACTTCAGTGCCAGAGATATTATGGATGTAATTATCAAGAGGTAACTTTATTTACTTAAAAAAATTTTTATATGCTTATATTTTTAAGATGGGAAATTTTGTCTTTCTTGATAATTCTGTATATTGCATAAATCCTCTTATTTGTGATTGGTATGTTGATTTTTTTTTGTAATTAATCTGGATTCAGAGTTTCATGTAATGTTTTAACTACTTAAAGAAAATTCTGATGAGCCAGGGTGGTGTCTTGGTCAAAAAAACAAGACCAGGAGCCAAACACATATCTGACAACCCAAATCTTGTTTGGCTAATCTTCTAGTTGAGTTTGAAAAAAAAAAAAAAAAAAAAGTTTCTTTCAAAATCAGTAGATGGCTTACTTTGATAAGATAATTTCCAACCAGTCACCATCATTTTGAAAACCACTGGAGAAATTGCTGATAACCAGTGTTGTTTCCTTTTGTGGAAAACTGACGATAAATTGTGTTGACCTGTATGGCAGATTCTTTATGGTTGTAAGAACTACTCAGTGAGATATTTTGTTTGGTCCTTTTAATAATGTTGCGCTCTACAGTTTTACATCAAAATCAGTAGAAAATCAGTAGAAAGTTTATTAAGCTATACTAGAGTCTCACCCTTCACTGATTCTGAAACAGGTTTTAGGGTGGGGCTTCCCAGCATGTGTGCTTGTAAAAATACATATACATTTACATAGGCTCTGTAGAGTCTGGCTAGAGGATCTGGAATATTTTACCTCTGGCTGACCAAAGAAAAGTAGGGTAAATATTCCACTTGCTTAATGGCTCTGATTTAAAGATCTGTTAATGCCTTTTAGGTGTGGCTTCGAAAGCACCTAACATTTGCATTAGTAAACCTGTTACAACATGGATGGAGCTAGAGTGTATTATGCTAAGCAAAATAAGTTAGTCAGAGAAAGAAAAATATCATATGATTTCACTCGATGTGAAATTTAAGAAACAAAACAGATGAACATAGGAGAAAGGAAGGAAAAATAAGATAAAAAGAGAGAGGGAGGCAAACCATAAGAAACTCTTAAATACAGAGACAAACTGAGGGTTAATGGCGGTGTGTTGGGTGGGAGGATGGTCTAAATGGGTGATGGGCATTAAGGAGGGCACTTGTTGGGATGAGCACTGGGTGTTAATATGTAAGTGATGAATCATCGCTAAATTCTGTTCCTGAAACCAGTACCACACTATATATTGACTAACTTGAATTTTAATTAAAAAAAAGAAAAGAAAAGAAAAGAAAACCTTGCTGTTGGCAGGCTTCATAGAATCGAGCTTGAAACCAGCATTCCCTGGGAATTTAAGTTTGAAAGGTATTCCTTTGATGAAGTTTCCTTCTTATATTGGCCAAAAGTTGATTTTCTTTTAATACGTGTTTTTTTCTGACTTTGCCTACATTTCTGTGATAAAAATCTCATAGTTGTAAAGATGTTTTATAGTAATAAAGAATTCCTTTCTCTCATAAAGATTTTAAATGTTTTGCTTTCAGTGGCTTGATTAAACTGGTGTTCCAGAATTTTTCCTACGGAGTTAATGAAATGTATAAAGCCTGTTTTCTCAGTGCAACAGTGAAGCACCTTCAAAAGTTTATCCCTGAAATTACTGTCAGTGATATACTTAGGTAAGGAAAAGCTATAAGGATTGCAAATATGGTCATGACCTATGTGAATTTGGCAGGTGGTTCTGACTTGGTGATTCGGTAAGCATACTTTCAGAGTCAGCGTACTCAGTGAATCTTTGTGTGTCCTCTCTTTCCCAGCAAGTTGTTGAATTCCCTTTTTATTGCATGCATTGGGCCTTGCTGCTTCGTGCCCCTTGGTGCCTGAACTAGGTTCATTTATAATTTTCTAGACCACTTTACAGCATTAAACTCAAATCTCCACTGCAGCTGTATTGTGATGCCACTTTTGCCTTCATGTCTAGGTATCACGATAAAAATATCTTGCCTGAAATTTTTTAATCTTCCTGGCTACTTACTCTTGTCATTGCAAAGCCATTTGATTTAAACTCTGTGTGAGATCATTGATCGCTATATTAACTGATTAGGTAATAAACACATAAAAAATTACATTTTGATTACATTTTACAACCTGTTAGACATACTCCTATACATGATATCTTACCTGCTTCCTCTCTTCCTCTTTTGTTCTTTCTTGGGCCCTACTCCGCTCAGGGACTCTAGTTGGAGGACAAAAGTGGGAAGAATGTGGTAACAGTCTGAGTCTTAGTGCTGTAGCGATGTGGGGCCAAGGAAGGATAACTTAAAAAGGAAGGATAACTTTTTTCTCAAGGATAAAAGGCTCTCTGGACTTGAGCTGCACATTGTCCTAAATACCACCCAAGCCAATTTTCTTTTTCCATTTGGTGATATTTTAGGATGTTCGCTTTTTTCCCTGGCCAAGCTACTGTTAGGCCTAATCAGCAGTGTACTTTGAAGTACTCTCTCTCTGTGAATCCATCCCTCCGTGAAACTCTAGGGCACTGAATGTCTGTCTTCTGAGGAACAGCTGCTGAACTTGCCTGGGAAGAGAGCAATAATCATGTCAGCTGTCTCCCTTAGGGGAGCTAAGTGTCCTGGTCTAAATCTGACACTAATGTATCATTCTCAGACCAGCCTCTTTGAATCCTTAGAAGAACTATTAAAACCCAGCTAATGTTTTTACTCTTATCTCTCTCATCGCTTCTACTCACCTCTTGAAATGGCAGGGATAAAAATATCTAGGCTTTCCTTTCTTTCACTCACCTATAAAGAAAAGCCTTTTGTGTTTTCAGTGGTCTGCTTTAGTAGAATTGTTATGTTTTATATCTGAAAATATATTAATCAAATCTGGCATCTGTTACTGCTGTTAATATTCCTTGAATAACACAATAGGTGGACATTGTGAATTCTGTATATAAACAGTTGCAGTGAATTCAGTACCCATATTCTGTTACCACCCTTTCATAGAAGCCTGGGGAAAACTCTTTCAACCAGTGGGTTTCATATGGTAGAACTGGGTTTTAGTGAATATTGCTGTCTCTGAGTGTAAGGTGGTGAATTTCATTTTCCAGTTTCATTAGCATGTAGTAGAAAAGGACACACAGCACTGTAGACAGGTTACATTTAGGGACAAATTTAACCCAATCAGAGAGCATCTCTTTGGAGACAGAGAAGCTGAACACATTCAGCAATTCCATCTTTCCCTTAATTCCTGTAGCTATTAAAAGGAAGAAATTTGGGGCGCCTGAGTGGCTCAGTCGGTAAATGTCCGACTTCGACTCAGGTCATGATCTCATGGCTGGTGAGTTCGAGGTCCCGCATTGGGCTCTGTGCTGACAGCTCAGAGCCTGGAGCCTGCTTCGGATTCTGTGTCCCCTCTATCTCTGTCCCTCCCAGCTTGTACTCTGTCTCTTTCTCTCTCTCAAAAACAAACAAACAAACAAATTTTAAAAGAAGGAAATTATCAGTAACAAAATGGAAGTTGTAGAAAATATATTTGGTAGCATTTATATCAGTTTAAACAATATCATATATAGTTTAGGGATTCTGTATACCATGTGAAAATAGTAATAAGCACGGGAGTCACCTAATGCAGTAGAGTGGTTACCTCTCGGGAGAGGAAGGGATGGGATCAGAGAGCTCCACAGGGGGTTTCTGTCATATCTATAAGCTTTATATCTTAAGCTCTTTGGTAAGAAAATAGGTGTTTGTTATGTTATTCTCTGTACCTTGGTATATGCCTGCAGTATTAAGTCATCATAATAAAATCAGATCGATAGACTTTCCCGCATTATGAAGCTTAAGTCCTACCTGTCTTGCAGCTCAGTGCAGTGGAACCATAAATGCTCTATCATTAATATTGAGGCAGAAGCATATTAAGCAGTTTTAGATAGTAAGAGAACTGAAGCCACACTTTAAGCGGGATGTTTAGCTCAAGAGAGTGTCCTTAAATTGCCACCAAAGGGCATCCAAAAAAATTCCAAAAAGCAAAACCAAAGGGCATCCAGCGTGACTTCTTTCTGCTTAGCCAGAGCATTTGGGGCGATAATTGACCAGTGAACATTGGATTGGAGTGTAAAGTTATAATCTGTCAAGTACATGTGTTAGGTATATAAATTTGTCATTGTTAAATGATGATCTCTAAGGTTCTTAATTTTATCTACGAAGTCCTTTAATTTGTTCTGTGATAAATTTGACGTGGTAATCTAACAGCAGTAAGAGCATAAAAGATGAAGGCACACATGCCAAGATCTCCTTTTTCTTCCCACCCTTTATTTTAAAAAAATGTCTTATTTGGGGAATTGTAAATTTTTAAGCAAGATGTTTTTATGGTGAGTGATAGCTAAAACTATACTATGTCATTGTGAAATGCAAAGGTGAAAGCCAAACAGTTCTATAATTAAAGTGATCTAGATCAAGGTTTCTCAATCTTGGCACTACTAAAATTTTGGCCCAAATAGTTCTTTGCTGTAGGAGACTGTTCAGTTCATTGTGGAATGTTAGCAGCACCTCTAGCCTCTACCCACTAAATGCCAGCAGTACTCTCCTAGTTACAACCAAAAATGTCTCCAGGCATTGCCAAATGTCCCCCAGGGGGCAAAATCTCCCTTGGTTGGGAACATCTAGTCTAGAGTTGGGCAACCCTCATACTACAAAATACCAGAGTCTAGAGAAAATATAAAAATCCCTTGAAATACATATAGCTGTGAATGCAACAAAACAAGGGGCATCCCAGGAGCAAAAACAAAAAGGAAATTGAAAACCCATGTACTAAGAGGAATTGGTGCTGATGCTATTCTGGGTGGAAGGGGGTTAGATTTGCTGATTTTGATATAAATATAACAGTTTTATTTTTAATTGATACATGATTTACATACAGTAAAATATGCAGATCTTAAGTGCTCAACGGATTTTGGCAATTGTATAAGTTCATGTATCTGCCACGTAGAGCAAGATATAAAACATTAGGGACATATGTTTTAACTGTAACTCAAGTGCTGGGAAGGAGGCTTATATATAAAAGGTACAAACTTGGAACTGAGACCCCTGTATAAAGCCAGGGACTCTTGAAGGGCTATACCCTCAGTGAAAAGGAAGTCTAGAAAAAAAAAAAAATCCCCTTAGCACCAGAAAGTGTTAAGGAATATTGTCTGTCCTGGCCTTGGGGGTAGAGGCAATGTTGGATAGGTGCAATCTCCTCTAAAAATTTAGAACCCTGGCCCCGCCCTCACAAGTGCTTAGAGTTTGACTTTGTACCACCACTTGATCTAGGAACCTTAAACTAAGAAGTTAACTTAAAAAGTAGATCCAGGGGGCGCCTGGGTGGCTCAGTCAGTTAAGTGTCCGACTTCGGCTCAGGTCATGATCTCACAGTCTGTGAGTTCGAGCCCCGTGTCGGACTCTGTGCTGACAGCTCAGAGCCTGGAGCCTTTTTCAGATTCTGTGTCTCCCTCTCTCTCTGACCCTCCCCTGTTCGTGCTCTGTCTCTCTCTGTCTCAAAAATAAATAAACGTTAAAAAATTTTTTTTTAATTTTTTTAAATAAAATAAAGAAGATCTAAATAAATGGAGAACCATATTAAGACCACGGATCAGAAGATTCAATGAGGTTAAGATGTCTATTTTATGTCAAATTAATGTATAGATTCAATGCCACCTAAGTCTTACCTAGCAGGCTTTTCTTGTGGACATTGACAAGACAGTTCTAAAATTCATATGGAAGTGCAAAAAGGCTGAGAACACGGCAAACAACTTTGAAAACAAAGAACACATTTGGAGTATTTGCCTTGCTTGGATTCAAGGCTGATGATTAACCACAGTAACCAAAATAGTGTGGATTGGTGTCAGAATAGACAAAGAGATTGATAGATCAGAACAGAGAACCCAGAAATAGACCCAGACATAAATGCTCAATTGATTTTCAACAGAGATGCAGAGACAGTTGAGTGAAGGGAAAAAAAAAATCTTTTGCACAAACGATGCTACAACAATCAGCTATCCATATGTGAAAATGAACTTCTTCACCTCTCACTCCATTCAAACATTAACTCAAAGAGAAGCGTGTAACTAAGCGTAGGACCTAAAACTTTAAAATGTCTATTGTGACCTTGGGTTAGGCAAAAATTTCCCAGAAACAATATCACACATACCATCTAAAAGAGCAAAAATGGATACGTTAGACTGTATCTAAATTAAGAAGATCTATTCTTTAAAAGACACTTTGAAACGACAAGCCACTGTCTTGGAGAAAATATCCAGGGATCACATATCTGATAAAGGAATTGTATTGACAATACATTTTCAGCAACAAGAAAACACAAATCCAACACAGAGGAGGAACGAGAGATTTAAAGAGACAATTCGCCGAAGAAGATCTGTAGATGATGGATAAATGCATTAAAAAGATACTTAAGGGGGCGCCTGGGTGGCGCAGTCGGTTAAGCGTCCGACTTC